AAATTTTGTCATTTTCAAAGCAAGTTCAAAAGCGTTTAGGTCTTGCTTTGGGTCTGCAAAGGATTGAGCACGTAGTGGGTGGCTGTCGGCGTCGCCAGATAGAACACGTATGCTGAGGTTGGGTATGTCACCACCTTAACTCTTCCAAAGCCAGAATGATAGCACTGTTCAGAACACTGCCTCTACGGACCCTGAACATGGATTTCCCTGCTGGTATGTGTTCTGTGTGGTCGTGCAGGCTGGCCCTGGCGGCCAGAAACGAAAAAAGTGGCAGGCAAGGTCCCTTTCAGCGGCCTCTTGACATAAGCTGCCATACAACATGTTTGTAATTTCCTTCGCAAGCTTCGTGTGCTAGGGCTATCAAACGCACCGTGTGACATTGAGCCAAGAAGATTGCAGAGCACATGGCCAGTTTGAAAGAAAACAAGGTCATTTGATCTTTGATTCTGCTTTTCCACGGTAGAAAAGAACTGCAAGCAGGCTGCGCATTTGGCTGCGTGCGCATGTAGTGGAGCAGCAAGTGCGCAGCATTTGCAAGTGCAGCAGGAGGAGTCAGATGACGATGAGGAGTCGGAAGCGGCCGAGGTGACTGTAGAGGAGATGGAGGAGTGGAAGGCACTCAGGGGCTTCCGGGTCATCATCTGTGACTTTTCAGTATATATCACATCCCTACATATCCCTATATGCCTCTATATAACCCCTACATAGCCCCTACATACCCCCTACATAACCCCTATAACCCCAAGAAGTTCGGGGCACCTTGATGCTAATGTCACTTCTCGAAGAGCCGATTGACAACGCGTTGAATCATGCACCTGATGCGGATTCGGCATTCAAGGGGGTGCAAAGTCAGTTTGAGTACTATTTTTTTGGTGCAGCCATTGGTACATGCTTTGATACTAGGAAGCTTTGGGTCATTCCCTCTCACAGTCAGGGTCCTTGAAGGGGCTTTATCAACTGTGAGGGGGAATTACCTAAAATCAGCTGATGCGCCTGCTGTAGTTCTGTCAGCACATACAGACATAGCACCCCAGGACGGTTCTTGGTTATCTGCCCAAATCAGCGTCCCCAAGAAAAAGAGACTCTTTGCAATAGCACAGATTTTGAGACGCACCCTTTGTGCCACATGTTGGGTACTGCCCTCGCTCTGTAACAGTTG